ACCAGGCCAGCAAAACCGTTCTACTATAAGCTTGATTGTTGCACGGACACTTGGATGAGAAATTTTGTGCAACGTATTGAAGGCATTACGTCGATGATCTTTCGGCACGACTAGGCCATCACTACCTGTAGATTTGTCACAAAGTAAGGTTACCTTACCTGTGTACATCTGTTTTATGCGTAGCTTGAGGTTTGTAGACTATAACATATTGTCAGCATTCAATGTCGAAAACGTACAAAGCTACTTATTTTAGGGATTTAACTACCGCTACTCGCTCTTCATAGTGAACTCCAAGCATATCTTTACGACAACTGGAGCGGTATATAAATCTCCAAAGTAAATATGTCACATGTTTTCAATATTAGTGCTGACCACATTAGTTTTACATGATACACCCCTAGCTGAAAGCGCTACATTGCGTATCTGCATCAGATCGTGCTTAGGCATATCGCACTGCACACATGTCGCGACAACCAGTCAACTTGGATTGCATGAACATCGACACATTGATCACTATCCAAATATATCTTTACATCTAAATTTCCGTGACATCCTCACAACAAGATTCTTACTTGCAGTGATTTGTGATCGGATTTACTTCGTTTGCAATTCTGGAAAGACGAAAATAACGAGATGTGCTTAGACTACGACTACTTGTAACAGTTTCACTTGTTTATAAGTAGACTAATCATTCTACAAATCTCATCCAAAATGCCAAACATCTACGATAGTACAAGCGCGAAAGTCAAATCTATCCAGAGATCTGACATCAACATGGATCGTATACATGCCCATGAATCTTCAGCCCATCCATTTTTAAATATTCAATATGTATCCAAAGTGTACCGTTTGACCATTCAATTAATGAGTAATTGCTGCATGTGAAAGTATACTTTTCTCTAGTTACTCCATTAAAGGCTCTAAGTTCTACTTTATTTGCTTTCCTTTGACCGGAAAGTTAGGACACGCTAAAGCAGCGTGTTCATACCAAACACATAAATAGCTCTAAATGATTAAAATAAAATGAATTGAATTAACTTTGTACTTTGATACGCAGCATTAACGGAAGTATGCTCAAAAGTGAGTTTTCATTCAGTCTGTTATAACTCTACTTGGGTCCAAAAGTTAGCGTGTACTGTTTCCAACTTTTGTTTACACTTTCTGAGCATTTCCACACACTATCTTTCAAGAGGCAGCAGTTTGATATCATTCTGTTTATTCAAGTTTCATTCCTTGGAGCCAAAATCTTCAAATTTGTTCCTCGTATCGCGTCTGGTATTTTCAAAGTTCCTGATTGGGACACTGAGCCAGTGAAAATATTCGAAGGGAATGTGGATGATATACGTTCTCATTAGTAAACTTTAGATAATGGAAGCTGGAGTTTTTGCCGAATAACCTTTATTTTGTCACTGATTTGTGAAGAACAAATTAGCTTTGTGTTATTACTCATCCATTTGCTCGTGTTTTGGCAGTCGGTAGGAGTTAAATACATTGCCTTTCCTCATCAATTTTGGACACGAATACACTAGTATGGAGAGATGACTTGCTGAAGCCCTGTAGCAAGGAAAAATAACTCAGAAACGCAGATCTGACTCTTGAAAAAACCATAGGGGAGCAGAAAATGATCCCACATATATGGCCAGAAAACTCAGTATCAAAACATTCCCTGAGACCCATATATATAGTATCATCAACGCAACAACAATCTTACGTCTTGCATCTTCACATCTTCTACTTATAGATTCACTGAACCTGGAACTTCAGAAGGAATATAAGATATCAACAACAGCCACATAATGAGCAGTAATTAAAAGATTAGGATTAAACCACATGACGCTAGGTCAAATCCTTTGGTTCTCTTTGTTTTTGATTTCTGAGGATAGTTTACTGAAGTGTGGGAATGCCTTCGAAAAATGGCCATTGGATTAGAAATGTCTTTTACTTGACGTTGTCATAACCCAGGATAAACTCTGCAATTTTTACCGTGATTAAAATGCTAGAAGTAAACCGCCCCAATTAATGTTCGGGCTGAAATTAACAGTTAAACAACCTTCAGCCATTGGAGGTAGGCACGATAAACTGAAGTTGGTACGAGGAGCCGTAATAAAACCAAACGAAATAACTGGAGAGGTCAATGTCATAGTGATGTATGCGGTTCCAGAGTGACCATCATGTAGCTCGGACAAAGCTCTCGTAGATGATAAAAAATACGGCAGTGGTTGTAACATACTCTGACGGTATACAAGAAAAACTAGTCAAACATGCAGACTATCTGATCCCCCACGCATTTAATTAATTTTCTTCACCTGATGACTGTCAAATGCACGTACTATGGTTACCTAGGAAAACTTACCAAGTCGTCGTATAACGTAAGAAGCGACCTTCTCAGCTATATCAGGTGCAATGTGAGTCATTCTCCATTTCTGAGGCAAATATAGTGTAAACATACCAACAATATAGTATTCTCAATAGCCCTCTCACAATAAACCTTAACCCAGAGAAAGACCACAACAGCTAAACTTATCGCACTAGGAAAAATCTTGTTTCGATTAGTCCTATGAGAACTAGCCAATCACTCCCTACATATGGCTTTGCGAACGAACATCACCATAAAGAAACCACGCATGCGGTGAATACTGGTGACTATACAATAACGTAAAGTGACTTAGAGGCAGAAAATGGGACTTAAAAACATGCACTCTCAGATGAAGCTGAAAATCTTAGTGTTAACTGAAGCACACCTTTCTCTTATGTCACGGGCAATGGATTGAACATTCTGCAAATATGGCACGAAAAATAAAATGAGAGTAAAGTTTTACATCAACAGTCACTTTAAAGCTGCGATAACGCCTAACTGCAAACTAGCCAAGTTACCAAAGTGCTGCGTGTGCTACCCCAAGGCAAACAGCTCGACCAATTTGCCGAAGACAACTTGGCGCTATCACTCCGAAACCCGTTCTGACACTCGTTAAACCGTACTCAGCCTCAATGCAAAGCCCACTTCCTCATTAGTTCCCTCTCTTAAAAACAGACATGCATCCTTTAGACAGAGTAGAGAAAAGGACAACCAAGTAGGCACTTGGGATACGGAACAATTTTGAAGACCACGGATCCCGATACTTGTGATTATTCTCGTTGAGCTACAGGAGAAAAAATTGTGATATAAAAGTGGCACTCAGTACATTAAATATGAAAAGTTACTTTACTACAAACATCCCGGGAGAAAATCACCACTACGCTCCCCGAAGCAACCCAAGTAAAACACGCATGTACGCCCACGCTTTTTTTCACCAAGATTTCCTCCAATTCTGAATGTTTTTCGTGCCGGCAGATACCTGCGGGTTTTTTATAGAAAAAACAGATTAGCAGTCGAGTAGGCATTTATTCAGATCGTGGGACAGAACAGTTGGAGCGCAAGGTTGTCTTTTTCAAACGTATAGATCGGCTTACGCAAGCTAGCCACATAGATTTTGGATAAATTAAATAACTAACGATTAACTACCAAGTTCAAGAAATTTGCTGTAACTGGGTAACCAGACTACTCACATGGAATGATATCATTGACTTGAAACCGTATCTCACTATCAAGATAGGTTTTCAAATAAATCAACTGGTTTACAACTCCTCATCTCAATGATATTGGATAGTGAAATTGTAACCGTCTCACTTTTGATTAGATTTGGAACGTAAGCGTTTGCATGTATCTTTAATTGTTCTTTTTGTTTCTAACTTGTGGACCATTCACCTCCAGCCATGAAAAATAGTTAATCAAGTCGCTGACCGAATACTTGTTACGGACGACAATAAGTATAATCGTTTAGCGTGATCTATCTATCTATCTATCTATCTATCTATCTATCTATCTATCTATCTATATATATATATATATATATATATATATATATATATATATATATATTAGGTCACCACTCCACACATCACCGTTAACATTAAACAACCAAACACCCATAATTCCTCAATTTTATTCGGTTATGTAAAGTATTGTTCGTTGGATAGTCATTTTAAGGCTAGTTTTAAATTTGGCAAGCATCATGGATATGGTTTCAGTGGCTCCACTTCTCCCTTTTCATTTATCAACCCGACTGTTACTTTAAATTACGGAGCTAGAAGTAAAAAATACACCAAAATTAATTGCATATGTAGTGACCAGTGCTCTTCAACTACGCATGCTTCTGGGATAACAAGTGTTTTACTCTCCCAATCTTAACTAGCTTGCTTAATATTATGTGGGTTGATTGAGTATATTTTCCATTAAAAACATCCAATCAGGACTGCTTGTGTTTACACTAATTATGCCTTGGGAAATTAGACTTAGCAACCTAATGAAAGCCGTTCTTCAGGATATCTTAGTATACTAATCTACTTTTAAGTTATACCTATGTCTGAGTAATTAGTATGCTCAGTGTTGTTGATCAGTACAGTTGAATTCGACCTGTCTCCCGATACTTCAACATATGGTTAAGTGTGACTTTATTTAGGTACGCTACGCTGAGCACTTTCTCGTAAATGGTCTCTATGATCCAAGAGTTTCGTGCTCACTACTTTTGCTTCGCTTAGTTGACCTGATAAGGAAAAAGTTGACGGATTCTCACGAGTTAGTAAGTTTTGATTCTAAGCTATTTAACACACGTAAGCTCGAGAATTCCATCAAAATCCATGGTATATAAACCTGACTACCGTAAAAGTACAAGCTGTTTAATCGATCAGATTAGTAGAAGCTTATTAATATTACCGTTTACATAAACACCATGTTTTAGGTCCTTATGATTTATCTCAGCCTACTCTCAAAGTATCGTTAGAAAGTAAATTTGTGACTCACATCTTAGTTTTGCCTATGTACTAATATGAACCACAGCATATTTATAGTCATCACAGGACTATTTATACAACTAATTAATTATTTTTTCATATTTGTTTTGCAGGTCACTTTTTTCTCTATTATCGTCACATAACTTTAATGAACCTTAATTTCTATTGTCATGAATATTAATCTGAATATTTGCAATGTAACTATTACTGGGTTAGCATTTTTCTTTCTTTTCGCTGCATTTCAAACAGCATCCTTGACTGCAGTAAGTTGTTTTCTAGTGCGTGTAACTTAATTGCATCTTTTCACAGCAAAATGTTTTGGAAGCTGTCTCAAAACAGCGTAACAACAGTTTTGATGGCACAGGTTACACTAGGTAAATACCATTTTATGTATAAGTATTGTTACAGCTTAGCAATTGTGTATATCTCATTTGGTTTATTCAACTGGTTTGCACCAATTATTGTAATGTATCTGGGAGAAAAATATTCTATGATCGCTGGTTCATTTTGTTATGCGTAGGTTTTCAAAGACGATGTCATTTCCTTTCAGTTTATACATTGCTTCATATATTGAACCCTTTGAGTGGAGCCTGTATTCAGCATCTTTCGTAAATGGAATCGGTGCAGCAGGTAAACTTTTGAGTTGAAATTATCTATTAAGTGGTCTGTTTGATCCCTCTGTTTAGTGTTGTGGACTGCTCAAGGTGCATTCATTACTGATTGTTCTACCAAATCTAATTTAAATCAACATTTCAGTCTGTTCTGGGGATTATTCCAAGCTAAGTAAGCGATTTTATTCATTTCTGTGGTTATTTCCTTTTTGCAAGATAGGCGAACCTTAAAGTTGTGTTATCATTGTGTCTATGATTTCTTACGAAATTCTATCTTTTCAACTTAAACGTGTCATTGCAAACCTACTTATACTTTCAGTACTTGGCTTTCAGTTATTTAGTTCCGTGTTTGAACGGTGCTCTGTCTACTTCGAACTCAACAGGTGGGTGATACGCTTAATACTCAATCATGTACATGGTTATATGGTTCTCTTGATAAGTTTACCACTCACTTTCTAGCCTCAGGAAATATTTTTCACAGTCTGTACATGTTTTCAGTTGGATTCAGCTTTCTTTCATACCCCGATACCTTGTGAATCAACCGATTATCCGCTTTTTCCAGACAGTCCCAGCGTCGGTAAATAATAGGTAATGTAAAATTCGCCGGCATGAAATTCGTAGTACACGTCCAAACCATCGAAGACGGTGTTCCAGTATGGTGACACTAACTTCGTTATCGTCACTGCCCAAATACGCGTTTCCGAACCGCCGCATTACTAATATAGTGTTTCCACTAAATGCCAGTAATCCTCGTAAGAAAAAGGTGATCAAATACAGAGAGTCATTTACCATCTTCAACTTGGAGTGGCCAGATTTCACAAGCGCAGAGCAGACTGCTTCCACTCGACTCTTAACAGACACGGTATGAGCCGTTTTGGTTTTCAGGATACGTAAATTGGTCTTATTCCTCACGCCACCACTAACATGTCCATAGTTACATAAACATATGAACTTTTCGAATATTTTTAACGGCTTAATACTAAGAGTGTTTGCATTGACAGTCCCTCACCAGTTTTGTAAAAGTACTTAATACCTGTACTTGGCACATGGTATACAGACGAACAGTCATTACCAACTGATTAAATGCGGATCGCATGACTTGAATATGATTGCATGGTCAAACAATATCGTCCAAATACTCAAGGTCAAAAGTCCTTCTCCAGGTAACAGTTCCACACCATTAGCTACTTCCATCAGAACTGTCTCCAAAATCTCATCGATGGAAAAGAGAAATGGAAATTAAGCAACTCTGCCTAACCACCATTACTGGAATGAAGTAATGGTGATAGGTGGTTGTATTTCCTCAGCCTGCCTGAGATATCTTTACACAACCTTCTCACGGATCGTTTCCTCAATATTAAGGATAAAATTTGCTATTAAGTGTTACTTTATCTGAAAAAAATAATCTGGGTCAACCATACAATGTAGTTGCTTCTGCTAAGTCAAACTCATCAATTCCTTGTTGAAATGCTTTGGAGACTGGCTAACTAAACCCTTAAAACATCAACATTTTAATCAAAACTGGTACTCGTCACATAAGGCCTATTTGACAAGGCTCTGAAATATGAAGCGAAAGATATGAATATCAGTTGAAACCTTATTCCACTACATTAAGTATATATAGCTGTAGAGGTTCACATATCATGAACATCAAACGACGAATCGTCACCGTTATCGTGCTCTTGATGGGACGTAACTCGTGACTATGAATCAATGAGTTCTGTTTAGGTACTACTAAATTTCAATAACATACGACAGTTGATCTATGCATTTTATTTCTAAGTGATTCTCCAGTTCATTTTAATTAAGATTGAAATTACCCAGTTCACAAACATACTTGAATGATTATTTTGTCCTGTTGTTTGTCTAAAAATAAAATCTAATGTATACATTTTTTTAAAAAATTTAGTCAAATAGTTGGTGGTTTGTACGCTTACCTATCACTATCGAATATAGATGAAATCTCTCGCACATTACGTATTCGGCTTTATGGTGGATTGTTGGGATGTGCTATTTTTGGAATTTTATTATTATTCACGCTGAGAAAGCCTCATAAAACAGACAACATTTCACACCAGCAGTTAATTAATATGGAGATTAATTCATCTGGTGATAACTTGAGTGAATTAACTCCAGATTACTCAACGTGAGTGGATTTTTTTTACATGCCTCAACTAATTTCAAATATTGAGAAATAACGTGTACACTAATATAACAAATCCAAATAATATTGTTTTTAGTTAAATCGCCATCAGCATTCCCTCTAGTACATAGTAATGTGTACACGCATTTATAAAAAATATTAAGCCAATGAAGGCAATTTATGGGTGATTAATGATGATAAAAAGGGTGCTTTTTCTGCTTTCAACTTTTTTTCCCAATGTAGGTAATTTTATTATAGGCAGGAAACTTGTGATATTTATGGATAACCTTTTCTTGTTCACCAATGTACCACTTAATTGCGAAAATCAAATTCACATTTTAGCAAATATTAGAAAAATATATTGGTATTGGAATTTCGGAAGACATTATTTCCAAGATGTACAATAACGATCTGTTTTATCTTTAACAGTTTTCGAATAGATGGAATAACCATTGAACCCATTTTTATGACTTATCGTAGTCGATTTCTCCCCTTAAAATGGAAAATGAACCTCAAGGGGATGCCAAGGTCTATACACCAACAATCTTCGATCAGAAAATTAGCAGAGAAACTACTAAGGCAATTTATCAGTATACACTCAGTAATCGATTTCATTTATGAAAAACAGAGTGATACTTAGTGTCATTTCTTTAAGCCTTCCTTAATCAGACAAGCAGATGGGTCGGGAAGTAGAAGTATGTATTTTTACCAGTTTCTAGTCGACCAGTGGTGGTTATTCAGCAGAATAATGAGAAACCTGGTTTCGTCACTTCGACATATATTAATTGGTCGAACTGCTCCCTTGGAGAGAGCTGTCTCATGTATACTGCCGAGCAACCTAGCCAATAATTATTCATCTCTCTTCGTTGTTTAGAAATGGTCAAATTGAGTTAACACAATTCTGTTTTATTATACTTGTTCTGTTGTAATCATATGGTAGATGTAACCATACCTTTCCAAACGACTTATCAAGCTCCTTCAAATTTTCTCAGTCCTATTCAATTTCATCTCTTATATATGGGAAAAGCTTTTGGGCTTCTAACTGACAGCTTTAGTTTTTGTATTCGAAAATAGTTTCTCATGCCTTAGATTCTTCCGTGATCACATGAAACTTAATAGGTGATCGTGCTAGGTTTCTTTCCAGTCCTCTCATATATCCCGTGTACTATTCGCATATTTAAACGACAATTCACAGATGTTGTATTTCGTTACGTCTAATGATTATTATTTCAATAATTTTACTTTTTCAAGTTTTCATTCCCTATGTCGAGATATGTATTATGCTTATTTTTGTAATTACGTCATTTTTCCAAGTGAGATTTCGTAAGGCAAGTAAAGTTACAGACATTTATCTGAAGCTATAACTGTCAGTGGATAATGTATTCTGTGATGCTACCTCTCACCTATTCAGTTTGCCACTTTTTCCTTGCAATACATTATTTTAATTGAAAATCCGTCAGTCATACAGGGTCTGAACCTAAGTCTTCATTCTTGCAGCCATCTACTACTCATCCTCTAAACATTGTAAATGTGTTAATAGAAGATAGTATTCCAATCTTTCTTTCTCAATTAAATGACCGATTAATCCCAAAGTGTAGTTTAACTCCGAGTACGTTGAATTCTCATACGTTTTCACAGGACAGTTGTTAGTTCTGCTAGTATAAAGTAAAATACACTAAATTAGAATTATTCAGTGAAGGAAAAGTTTTAAATCAAATTTCTTGTCAATTAATCCTCGGTGACTTTTCTGGAATTTATAGTCAACGGACGTTAATAGAAAATATCCAGAAGACAAAAAGTCAGTAGTCAAGATCATTTACTAATCCTATTAAACCTCCTAAATTCCATAAAGTATAAACTATCATTACGTTTTAAGATCTTCGTTATTTTACCGTCATTTTTCAGTTCATTAACTGTTTCCTCTTTATTTATTTGTTACACTATGAGGTAAAAAATCGTTATGGCCGGTACATGGTTCATTTGATGAGGTTGTCAATCTGTATTTAATAAATCTCATATTCTCGTATGTAGTTGATAAAATGAACCGATATGTTCACTTAATTTTTCATACATCGGTTTTTAGTGTCAGCTCACATTATTACTTTTGATGCAATAGTAAAATATATTGCGATTGGTAGTAAATTACAGTGGGCGAGTTTTAGTCTTTTATTTCATTAAAGAAAACCGTTACTATTAATTATCACTATTATTAAACTAATTGTTATATCGAGTTATATCTGTGCATTGAACACAATGTTATACCTCTACACGTTGGTAAAACTATCATCAGATGGGTAGAATTTGACAAATGTGATCGGTTTTTATTTTCTATCTAATAAATCCACGGAGTAAAATGAATTTATTTTTCATCTCACGGATTTTCAATACTCAGCTACACACAGTCTTGTTAAATGTATTTACTAAATCTTCATTATCATTACTGTTTTTTCCACTCTGAAACTAATTAAAATGTTAAAAGCCCATATTTCTAAATCTTTTCTCATTCATAGAATACAAAATCGTTCGACAGTTTTTCAGTCGACTTTACACTCTTTACGTAAGTTTTATTCTGTTTTAACATGATTCAATAGTTAACTCGTTTTTTGTCGTATAAAAGTTATTAATCGAAAAGTGTAATAAACTAAGACTATTAAGATGCAATTTCTCAGCTTGGACGGTCAAACATTGAAGTCACTTTCTGTCGGTTGAGGTTCGCGCGATGATCAGTTTTCATTATCTGATACCTTCGTTCACATGCTTCAACATGGGTGGCAGTGCCACGGTCGCATCCATCCTTTATCTTCCCTTTAATTTCAGATGTTAATACTGATAATTTTCAGCCCTTTATTTCATAAATTCTTTTCGAATTACATTATCTACTTTTGATTTTAAATACCACACCCTTGTGGTATCTCATTTTAATTCATTGCCACTAAACTAACGTCAAGTTTAATATGGATTCGTTGTAGTTTTTACGTTGCATTTTACCAGCTGAATGACTAGGGACAATCTTAGTAAACATTTTATTTATATGGGTAACCAAATCATATGATCATATTTTAAATAATGTTTGGACTCAAAATAGCAGTCTTCTCACTCTTAATATAGTATTTTGTTAACTGAATGAATATGATAATAAAGTCTAACTTGACAATAAGCTAACAGTTATTCATGCACAACTTAGCGTTTGACACAATTTTACATCTTCCTACGTTGTCAAACTTCACATCAGCATAATGAAGGGAAATTAACATGATGAAAAACGAAGAAGTAGAAATAACAGCATCTATGATAGTTAGAATTAAGACCAAAGAATACACTTCTAAAACAATGAATAAAACAAATAAATGAAAATTTTCAAGCGGTATTAAATTTTATGCCACTGTCACCAATTCCAGTCGGTGTTACGTGGTCTTCATCAATAGATTACGGTTACTGCATATATCTCAACCATGTAGTTTGAATCTCCTGACTCAATTCATTTTAACAGCTAACGATTAATAACATGTCTTATTCGAACCACGTTTAGCCAACTTTCAGTCTAGTCTGATGCTAACCATTATTGCGTCGAGTTACGAATTGGCTGAGCTTACTTGACATATATACCCTAACCACTACAATCAGAAAAGGTTTACAACTTTATCTACCAATATGGTAACCTGTGTTTAGCCTCTACACTATTCAATCAGTGGTGGTTCTGCTACATAAAAAATGTTTCTAGGGTATTTTTCGCCAAATGCTCACAGTTAATATACGTATGTCCTCAGCCTTCAAAGACCATTTTTCCGACTATGAAATGTTAAACAAACTTTTATGCATGGAGTATTTGTGAGACTAACATATTAAAGTCGAACTGATCTATCAACCTGTTATGTGTGCGGCAGATATTACCACAGTATTCATATGTTCTAACATCTAGAAAAATTAATTCTGTAATGCATATTATTGAACAAGTTGTAGATTAGCTAGACCTCAGTAACCAATATTAGTGTCTCACCTACCATAAATTTAATCAAGCCTATATAAGTCCCATGTTTTCTGTTCAATAAGTACCCTATAATGTTATGAATTGATTAATTTCACTATCTTTGACTTATTTTCAATATAAGAACTTGGTGCTAATTGCGCAATTGATATATGATAAGGCTATTTGGAATATCTCATACTTCTGTAGTATTATCGTATAAAAGACCAATAAAAATTTGTTTGTTAATTATATTCAGGATTATCTACATCAAGGAAAGTAATGCTCATAAAACTCAGAACCGGAATACGATGAATTGATATTTGTTCCAACCGAAATTCGATAATCAGATCAGTATATTCCAAATACTATTTTAAAACTATGATACTATGTAAACAAATGAGCGAGACTATAATTTATGAACGAAGCAATCAAACATAAAATAACATGTCTCGAATTTTGGCACGAAATTCACCCATTCATTTGGCTAAATAGAGTTTTGGCAATATAGCTGATGTCAGTTTGTGATGAAAACCCTAGATCTAATACTTAACCTAAACCATCAACTGTAAATCATAATTCTAATTCCCCACACTGGTTTATAACCCTCTTTTGGTCCTAGTTATTAGATAGACACTCTCAAGGTCAGTTTAGCGTCGCTTAAACGTCGTCCATAAATTATGGTCTCACCGTTAACTGGAATTAAATAACGTTTTTCGACTTTAACACTCCATGTTAGTACAATCTTCGGATGTACCATTCAGGCTCTCATATAATTCGAAAGAATCACCATCGACTGGGCAACAGCCAAAGAAAACAGACTGGAGAAAACAACACAAATTAATAGCTGTTAACAAGCAATTTGCAACACAACAAAATAATCAATTCTTATTTATTGCTTTCTGGACCACTTGTCAGTGATTAGAACAAATAATCATTGAAAAAAAGAAAGTTAGAAACGTCGAAATTCTCAATGGGTCATTGGGACAAAAAGGCACAAGTGAAAAGAGTGAAATAGCCGTAAAGCACGATGTGTTTGTAAGTTATAATATTGATACATATCTAGTTAAATCAACTAATAATTAGGCAAAATATATCCAAAACCAGCCATTCCTAAACATTTCAAGTTTTGAGTTTTTGCTCTACAATAACAATACTTAAACTTGTGGTTCGCCTAGTTTCTCAAATGTCAAGTTCATAATTTTCTTTGTGCCCGTCCAATTCAAGTGAGGAATTTAAATCCATGAAAATCTAGTACATAATGTAGTAACCAGGGTTTTGAATCTATCTTTATGACGAAATATTTTCATTACCTTCATTAAATTTACGTTCTTAACCTTTCTCCCACTATACACATGTATATGCTACTCTAGGTAAGTCGGTTAAAATTCTAATCACAAGACCAATGATTTGCATTCTTGTGGCAGCAGCATTTACTGGTAAGTTGGAATAAAATTAATACCTTAATTGTTAACTAAATTTTCTTGTTTCATATTTTTGTGCATTACCGCCTGTTACTTACTATTTGTAAGTATCTAAAAACGTTTTTAAAACCTTTTTAAGCTTTGGAAATTTCTCTGCCAGTCTACGTGTTTGTCTTCCTATTTAGATCTGTTGGTTCGTCCTTCCATTTACAACTGAATATCTTGATTCCCTTCATTAAATATGTATGATTCTTTTATGTTTTGGAACATAGCCCTTAATCCCTTTTTGTTAATTGTTAATATTTATGTCTAACACAACTCCCTCACATTTCCTGATTCCTAGTTGCTCTTTCTTTTTAAATTCGATATTTGAAATGTTATTACCACTTGATTACCTCAAAAATGAATTATTCCACCTTTAAATAAACGTCATTCTTGTGGTTTGAGGATTTTTAAAGGTAACACGCCTATATTGATTCGATGTTCATCATAGATTATGTGATCAGAAATTACAATATTCACGAATTCTGTGTATAAGAATTTTTCACATATTGAAATACTTCAAACGTACACTCAACAAAACAGCAAGCAGTGAATGATAAGTGTATACATGTACTCGTTATGTTATGCTAGGAATTAATTAAAACAATCATCGATACTTTATAAGATGGTGGAAGCAGAGAGATTTTATTGCACTGAACCAAAGACAATCTTTCCAGTCAACTCTGTAATCATATATATTTAATGTGAATATCTGAATTACTCAAACTGGTTAATTCTATAAGTGTTATTTAACTTTGGATATTAACTTACGGCTGTATTTTGTTTTTGTTGCATTATGAAGGTTCGGTGTTTTAGCAAGTTTTAAATGTTAATTTTTCTTTCTTGGTAGCATAACGTGATCTTCTGCGTTTTAAATTCATCGGTTGTGTAGGCTTCTAACCATACTGTTTATCGTTTTTGTTTAAACTCACATTGCATACGATTAAATTCTGCGAAAACTATACAGTTAGTTAAGCGTTTGAATATTTCCTTGACACTTTTATTTTCTAATTTAGGCTGAAGAGGTTTTCCAGTTACTTTTCCTGTCCCCACTTCAATAAGAATACATCTGCACCTTGGATAGTTTGTGAGCAAAATCTAGAAAGTATTTCAGAAAGATCAACAAATTTTAGTCGACCATATCCAATAGAAGCTAATGACATTCCGATATGTTCCTGTTGTTGTATTATTTAAGTTAATCACTAGTTCAAAATGTTTATAACGCCAGAATACACAGAGTGAAATCTCTTTAGATGGCATAACAAAAAGACTATGGAGGCTCATTTTGGGCCCTACGTGATTCTTTATACCTGTACACCTATAACTCCTGTCACTGTAGCTATGTCTAATATTTGGTTAACAGTCAGACAATTGTTAACAACATTCCTACTTCACTACATCTAGTTTAAACGTACTAAGTTCGAAAACAGACAACACCCAAGTTATTCTCGTATTGCATCGTACACGTTAATATTTCATAGTCATGTGACTTAGGCATTATTCAGGATTTCTTTTGAAAACCACCTAACCAACGGTCACAATTTACGGTTTCCAATAAAATGCATATTACGAGCTAACGAATCGTACTACTAAACAACCATAGTAACCCTAACACTGGCTATATTGATTTACCAGTTTCACTTACCAAATCAGAGTGGTTGATATCCTTGACGCTTATTCCTCTTGTACGAAGTCTCCACTATAAATAAACTTAACAATGACACATAATTAAATAATGAATACCCGATATCTGGATGTTTCACGTATGATATTATTGCCCTTTCAGGATTGCGTAAACTAATGATTTCAATTGTATGAATTTTACTCATCTATTGTCACTTGACCAGTCGTTGTGTAAGGATGTGCTGAGGCATTACTGATTCTTGATACTTTATGCGCCTTCAGTACCTTAGTTCAGCCTTCCTCCTCTGCAGTCACTCTGTGATTACTTGCCTGTCATTATTTCCTGAAACATTATGGGGTTATCAGTGGTTTTTAGGTTGGTTTATAAATTTTTCTTTATTTGTATCTTGTCCTATCACCAACCTTATAAGTTCGTGATAGCACCATAGTGAAATCACCAAACTAGGTGTCATTATTAGTAGAAACACGATATTAAATTCGGCTTCACACCATCTCCCATGTAGTCAAATCAAATTTCGTGAAGCGCCGTTAATAGTTGAAGGAATTCACATCGATGGGCCTCTTCAATAAAATGTTTTTATCAAGTGCGTAAGTTTCTTGTTCAACTGTCGACTTTTGTATTTATCAATCAAAGTAAACATTTAGTTATTGTTTGCCACTTGACAAATCAAAATATTGTGTTTTTAGGAGAGAATTTATCATGCAGAGAATTAACTTAATAACCAAATAAAAATTCTGAGAAACGTTTAACATAATACAGTTGTAGCATTCCGGCCAAATATTCTAGGACTTTAGGATCAAACGCAGATGAATTTCAACCATGTTGGGAGTAAGTTATTCGAATAGTAGTAAACACAGTGAATTAACTCAAGTTGAAACTATAGAGTTGGTTTCCGATTCAGTGATTTAAAAAGTGACTCACTCTCTGTGAAACTCCAAGGTTCTGAATTTGATATCCGTCAGGATCATGGGTATACATTCATTGCTGAATAGGGAATCTTCTTCAGTCACCTACTGCATGAAAGCAAGACTAAAGGATAGAATAGTTGTAAAAGTATAGTCTTTGAAAGATTTTCATATGCCAACTTCTAAAACCATATGTTACTACACCATCACCTTTATGTCTCCAGCTTGATTGTATTCACAACTGAAATCTAGCTATCAACCGACATTCCCTCTGAGATGTTTTGCCAATATTCTACGGTCAACATTAAAAATGTAATTAGAGATGCCTATTTAGCATTTTTCCCTTAAAATACCTTCAATTTGTCGTACCATAATCTGAAATTATTTTAGGTATTAATTTGACGTTCTATTCAAGTCTATATGCTTCTGCGTTAGGACATTGTTTACATTTCGGTAGAAATGCAAAGTCTTATATTGGATTAGCTGGCCTGTTTATTGGGATTGGAGAAATTATCGGTAAGTAATCCCACTTATTTTATTTTATACAAAGTAATTCTCTTTATAAACTTAAATAATATATGAACAATAATTAAAACAGAATTAATATCAGTTCTTTATATTTTATAGATTCTCTTCCACAGCTTACAACATATTGATCAAATAGAGAAATAGCATGATATAATTTAACGCGAGTAAAAGTGATATGAAAAATGTAAAAGATTATGATTTATATAGAGTTAACAAATTAGTGTAAAGTAGTTGGAATCATTTACATCGAATTTTAACCGTTGCATCAATTAAAGGTAACATAATAAGCCCAACAATATATTCTTAGTAACAAATAATTAAATAAAACTAAAATGAAATAAATTATATCGATAAAAATAAAGTTATGAACAGTTAAAGAGGATCTACGTAATTTAAAAAAAAACCATATTGTTATGCGTCAATTATAAAATATGTTGTAGTTCGTATGTCTATTTTTTTATTTTGATTGAAAATCAACCTATCAGGCTTATAATCAACTTCCCTATTAATTAATACAGTTTAAGAATGTTGTCGTATTTTTATCTACATTATATTAGTGGCATTAATGAAAAATTCATTTATCTTGACAAAAGTTTTATTCACTGTGTGAATGATTAACTGTAATGTAATATGTTTGTACTGTTAAGTTTATTCCGTTTGTCTTACATTTATTCCAGGTTTTCCATGGTGGTCTAGCTTCAATTGACTCATGATCTCAAATAATGAAATTGCTATAAAATCTACAAAAACCCTTCTGATACTAGCTACCATATGCTCGCTAGTGACTGGCTTCAAGAGGTATTTCCTAGAGTTCTAGTGAAAAGCAGTGACCAGTGGAGTGAGTGAGATAGTAACTCACTGAAGACAATGGTGGATGTGTTGCTCAATTTCGTAGATTAGTTGAAGTTAGAGATTAACATCATTAGATGCCAGCTCAGTGGTCTAGAGGTTGGGCGTTCGCGCGCGGGACTGATAGGTCGTGGGTTGGAATCTCGCGGGGCGGGGTCGTGGATACGCACTGCTGAGGAGTCTCACAATAGGGCGAAACGGCCGTCCAGTGCTTCCACGTTTTCCATGGTGGTCTAGTTGCAACTGACTCATGGTCTCAACTATTGAAATCACATTTATTTGTTAATAAAATTGGTTCTGATTACAAACAAAGCATAAACGAAAAACAATTTTTTTAAAAATATATCCTTAATGTAAAATCCCAAAATAATTCAATCCTTATAATTTTATTATCTTAGTTAACATTGTCAACATTATTCTCCATTGTATTGTTTTATAAGGGAGGGGGAAATAGATTTGTGAATTACGGCACAATATGTATTTACACTGTCTAAATGTACGCTATTTTATAAAACTGTAGCCGAAGCTAGAATTCTTGAATCGAACTACTTATGAAAACTCAAACTTGACTTTTTAAAATCCACCAATTCCTCTGCTTCTTAATGTCATATTTAATTACTCTTTAAATCTTCATCTATTTCCTACGATATCATCATCACTAGTGGCATATATATATATATATATTCTCTACGACTTAATGCTTCTTGATTGTTTGGAGAGGGCTTGGAGTCATAATAAAATACGAGGTAGTACTAATCTTGAGTATACTAAGTTATTCTGTTGAGTCACGTCACGATCACACTGTATATCATATGAACTTGACATGTAAGTAACTCAGTCATACGATAATTGATTTATAACGACCAAGAATAGTGCAAACTCTTACTCATATTAATTGTTAGACGCAGCACATTTACACCGTTGGTTTGGGATCACGGTTTTCCGATTCTCCTAGATAAACTCTTCATATCCACCAACTCTACTTAAGGACTGGACGTCTGCTTCTCATGCTACCACTTTCTCAAACACGCTCCTAATGTGAAGATAGTGAGTAAAACTTCTGTAAATGCTATAAATGAGTGACCACATGGGGGATTTCGAGAGGAAAACAGTCACTCCTTAACTTCAGTCATACAAGGACATTTGTGGGCTATATTCACTGCGGAATTTGAGCTTGATACCGAAGGCACTTAATTGTAAATCACTTGGTTATGAATTAATACTTCACCTTGCCCTGTATTTATTATTGTTCATGAGTAAATTTAGCCTAAAAATTTTGATTGGCTACTTCATATATTGAATCAGTTGTATATGTCAGTCATCTACAACGTAAGACCAGGCACATATATGTGTATGTAATTTTAATCTCATGGTTTAAGTAAAGACAAAGTGTGTATACACCTACGCCATTGTGATCGATTTTGAACCATATCACCCAGAGTCTCCAACCACTGGTTACGACAGTCGGGCTGACCCCAACCAAGTAATCTGCATCTACTAACATGGCTCAGACTAGAAGTTAGTGACTTTGCAGACTGACGCTACGTTTTCGCTTGGTCGCCCGGAACTTTCTTCCGTCGATCTTCAACACTAGTCATTACTGCCAATTATATATATAATTGTCGTATTTTGAAATAGTAATAAAAAACTTTATTTATATCATTGATTACAGGTAGTTTCTCTTCACATTTAACTCGGTGGATTCGTTTAGAAGGAGTTCTAGTTATTTTTGGTTACATCAGTGCAATCGTAGCTGGCTATTTCACTTTCATGATGTTACCGACAAACAGTTCTATAAAAGATACGGATGAGCTGTCTTATATTACTCCTAAGCAAGTTCAAATTAAATTCACTATAGTTTTTTCTTGTCTTTTGTAAGTTAATTTTCTTTACCAACTGACTACCTGATGTAGACCAGTGAAATTTTAATTGACTGAATTCTTTAATTAATCGATGCAATTTCATCGCTGAGCTAGATAAAAATGACGTAGCCGTTTACGTTATTTCGGTTTGAATTTGTGTCAGAAATGTTCAGAAAGTAGTCGGTTTGTACTTCATGCTCATGCTCATTAATATCTGTTTGTAGCATTGAGAAAATCTCTTTTCATCGTAGTATCTTTGATTTTGGCGTCAATGTGACACTAAGATTATTTATCCGCTCAAAATTCTTACCACCAGAAGCTAATTATAAAAATGACAATGAAAACCATCTACACATATTGTTCACAATAATGTTCGCTTGTGATGATGCAACATAATGGAAATTACGATATTACGTATCGAATACAAAAGTTCATTTATCAGTTGGTGTTTCGAGACTTTATCGAATGTGCTACACGTGTGCGACTTCTATCTATCTTAGTGTTTTATGTCACTTAGTGCAAGTATTAAGTGGTTAGACGTCATTTTTTTCAAATCACTTACTGCCAGACCAAAGATACAAGTTTCTTGGTTGAGTCGTACAGAACCATAGTGACATAGTTCATATTCCATTCATTCGTAAACTTTTTCTGAATTTTGAAAAATAACACTATTTCACATTTCATTTTCCGATTTCATCCATTTCTTGTAACCATAATTTCCATCTACCACTAGGTCAATTCTTTTACTTTTTGAGTTCCATTACTCTCCTAACTGATTATGTAATTCAGATTTCCTTTTATTCTACTTGGAATAAGACGACGACATAATATATCAGTTATTTCAGGCTGTCACAGTAAAATTCAGATTGTGGTATTGAATCTCTGTCAAATACTTGTGGTAAGACTATTTTCCACATAGTAAATCGTTAGTGAGTAGTTCGTGTATTCTACAACGTGCAGTTAGCCATAATGAAACATTATGGAATCAGGTGATGACGTCCTCTTATATATTCGGTGCATATCTTGTTTTTAACATAGTCCAGTCGAATTTTGACGTGGAAATAGTTAACTTGTTCATATCTTTTTATCAGTGTCTATTTGGCTATGCTCATAGCATTTTTGTTTGGTGGTGTGGATTCCGTGTGGAACACACAAATTTCTACTTTAATTGGTTTCATTTATGGTGAACATGGAAGGGATGTTACAGTTGGGTTTGCTTTATTCAAATCTGTTCAAGTGAGTATATATGTACATACTTTTGTCTAACTATTAAGGCTATAAAATACATAATTTATTCCTTATTCTTATAACTTTTGCCCCTGTCAATTATCAAGTGACAAAATCGCCTATCAGAATACCGACTTATATGACCTTGTTCTTGTGCTAAACCAGTGACACGTCAACCAGCACTAACAGCCTTGCGTCAACTCTGAATCCTTATTAGTCCTTCTCGCTCAGTCCTCAACGTTGAGTTCAGAACGCAACCTCAGTCTCCACTGTATGAATAATATGTTTGAAACACGTAATTTATACATAAGTAAACCGTATAGTATCACACGATAAAATAAAAAATAGCGACGATACAAGATGAAGCCAAAAGTGACTGTGAGTGTGAGAGACTGTAACTAATATATTGAGAATAACTTGGGAATATAAATCGTATAATAGTAGCCAAGAAATCAAATGAAAACTTATAATAAGAGAAATATAAATTGTATATAATCTAGTTACTTAGTAGTTATATTATAAGAATATATATATAACAGTCCACAAATAGTCCCCGATAGTTACTCATAATTCCATCTTCTTCCAATACAACACTTATTGTAGCCTAGTGTACCTGTAATTTGGTTAGCCATGTAAGTGGTGCCTGGTTGTCTACGTATTTGTCGTGTGACCACACTGTATTGTTTTTCCTTGGCATTACCCTTTCACCATTATGTTTAACCTGCAAACAAGGATAACTTGAGAACTAGGTGTATTCCAGAACAAATGTTTACATAAAAGCTGCATATTGGATCTTTTGAATTCGCCTATCAGCGCTAGTTGTTCGGAAATGGATCAGTCATCATACTCTGAACACTAGTACCAAGAATGAAAGTCACTTCGTTAGAGGTCAATCTATAGTGTAATTCTTTACTGCGTGCACAATGCAGTCCACGCTCGATTTTATTAGAATATCGTAAACTTTAGTTATTTCTAACTTGACTAACATACGTTAGATCATAACCATACACATCCTGTAAACTACTGCTCAATGCTTCCTTTAAATAATAGGCAGTATGAACATTTAGTCCTACTAAGGATTCGCTAGTTAGGTTTACTCAAGAGCCTACTAAGTTAAAATGATCAGTTCGCAACAGATGTTGCTGATTCATAAGTCATTAATAGTTTACTTGTTAATTACTGATGATTAAACTCTAATGTAAACAAGAATCAACCCCTTCTGACAATCTGAAGGTAATATAGGATCTGTATAATTTTTCTTCTTACTCATCCAAAACCTATATAGATATAATGTTTTATACTTTTTATTTTATACTGTTTCTTTTTAGTCTATCGTATCGGGAATCGCTTTTGTCTATAGCACTTACCTACTATTACACTGGCAAATACTCATTTTTGTTGTAATGGCTACTAGTGGTTTGTATTGCCTACTCAGTGTCTATCGGTCACATCTATCTCGCTCAGTAAATTTGATCGCCTAGACTGAACGAACTTCTCCATGCTAATGTAACAAAACATTAACACCTCAGTGCTCAATATAAAGTTAACTGTGATTACTCTTGAAAACCATCTTGTCGTTATTACTTATCCTTTTCTAAATTGACAATGTTGAAGAATTGTTTGCATAGGAAATTGGCTTTTGTGCACATTTTCTTTCCTATGCTTTTTTTATTTATTCAGTTTGTTCTCAACTATCGATGAATTTTATTGCAATCACGATTAAAAATCATTACGACTTAGTGTGTGTAATTCGTCTCAATGATGGGAGTGTGATCTGTGTACTTACTTATTTCTTTGACAAGTAATACACTGACAATTTTTCTTCAAGTAAAAGTGCTACTGTGGCACTAACTGAAATATCATCCTCTTTTTTAGAATTAAGAATCACATGAAGAAAGAGTTTAAAACCATAAGTATTCATGAAATCCTTATTCCTTAGTAAAGAATAATTCAAAAGAAATTCGTTTATGAAAAATTTGAACAAATTGTAAAATTCGCAATCTGTAAACATTAGCATGCAAACATGCACTGGATATTTTGAGACTATTTAGCCAAAAATATTAAAGAAGTCTTAAATGATAACAATCAAAATTATTGGCTTTGGACCCTCGTACTGTGTTTCATTCGTTAGGAAAATTATTCGAATCGCGTTTAACAGAATTTAAATTTGTAACCTACTAACCAAAGCTGAACGGCTAAATTAATGAACAAAAAACTCCATGTGTTATGTTTGTAGTATTACTGCGTCATTTGAGCATTAAACCAAGAAGATTCTTTTAAGTTATAATCAAGATAAGATCTAAACATTCAGATTCTCCAAAACTAATGGAGTCCAAATGCCTAGAATATCGCACACAGCTACACTATTTTACGATAAAGCAAAAGTAATTGATATCCGTTTTGTGGATTAGATGAATATTCCAGGATGCTAGTGTTGATTTAAAGCTATAAAAAAGAAATTAGACTTACATAAATCATTACATTCTATACGATCGTGCTTGCGTTCACAGACAAGACAATATTTCACATGCCGTGATGGGTGATTGAATATATGTTTTTCTACTTGTGTTGACCACGGTCAATGACAACATAGACGGAACTAGTTAGGAAGCACCGTCTAAACTTACAAAACCCATATCTCAAGAGTTATGCTTTAACCACATATTTATGTTCACTTTTACACGGAATATATTACATTTCAAAGTTTGTTTGGTTGAAAGTTTTTTTTTCTTTTGACATCTGCCCATTTAGGAGTTCGCATCAATATTCGTACATTCTCAAGCAACAACCATTCAACTACTTTACACCTCATCTAAACAATCTATCACGTCTTGTCCTCTATGTTAATGTTACTCTCTATAATACTTTTCTATTTGAGGTATGTAAGATTATGCAAACTTATTCAGAATTAGGATATTCATTCAGTTGTACTAATTGGATTTAAATTTTCTCAACTGACAGAATTCTGAGCCAGTAATAAGCTAGGATTGGTCACTTAACTCAACATTTGAGAGGATGTATCAAATAAGTAAAACTGGGTCACCGGTAGATTTCGCGTCATTCTCAACCATTACTTACAACTGTTGCAACCAGGAAATTTGCACCTTGCGATATTGCTCGAACCACTTGTTAGTGACTTTGTGGACCGGTGTCACACACTGGTATTTTTCCAGCCTACTCTTGCGTCAGCCAACAATACACACCGAGGCAGAAAGTCCTTAGGTAACGGTAACATTTATCGACTACCTTAACCGATAAAAATTCATAGTATCAAGCCGACATTGCTTTGCACACACTAATAAAATACTTGAAACTTACATATGTCCTTTACTTTCATGGGCTGTTTTAGTGCTTCATTTTGTTAATTTCCTTATCAAATATATTTATTTCATCCGAGTCCAAGTCGATGAGTGAATCTCTTGGTATGAGATCAATCACTGAGAAGTTAGAAAGATACGTGACGAAACTATATGAGAATTTAGTTAGTGGGTAGCCCTGACGAATTTCACTGTAGGTTGCCAATCCACGCGATGGCTCGCCATAAGGTTTAATTCGACCACTGATTACCGAGTAAAGGACCTTCCTAAAGTTTATGTGCTTCGGTACACATTGAACGATAAACACTGCCACCAGTCCTGACGACCACCTGAGGTAGTTGAACCAACAGTTCGAGAGATACGTTTACGCTAGTGCATCAATAAGTAGATTTACACTTCGAAAGTAAAATGGATATCTTTTTTACAAATCCCTCCTTAGGTCTTACAACTGCTTGGCATCCCCAGTTTGTATACTTACCAGCACCAATAGTGTCGGGTTATGAGTGCTAATATTTTAGAATATTAGACTGATTTCTATACGGTTATTAGTCTTTTACAAAAACAAGGATGCTAAGTGTTCATACCCAGCATGACGGAATTGTCTTCAGCTATCAGACTTAGCTGGCATCTCAGCCAGCTTTACTACTAAAACAACTACCATCATTTAATCTTAGTCTCTCACTAATCTAAACAGTTATCAGATGTCAACGATGCCCCTGTGCCTTTCGATAAATTTCACTACTGATCATTACGTGGACTAAGTCCATTTCTACGTTCCCTCTTCTTGTTGTTAAAGCTCGTTGGGGTAGATTTCTGAGCATCTACAAGTTTAGTAGTCTTTTATGGTTGCTATAGACTAATGTATATCAGAATGAACATGGCCGACCAAGTACTTAGATAACGCATACTTTTGATCTCCGAATTAAGATCAAAGGTCATGTTTTTTTATGAGTTTAGTAAGGCCCACATGAACGCGTACTGGCACAGACAGTCTAACATGTGCTCCAGAAGAAGTAGCAATTTTCAAAGATGGGTGATAGCAATATGGTCTATGTAAGTTGATATTTGTAACGTTGGTGCTTACCAAAAACAAATCGTTTGTGCAATCGTATTTTGACGACAAATATGGTAATGAACTACGATAATAACAACGGTTGATTGGTGTATAAGCTAACTTTACAACAACCGGATAAATCACTGGATACATAGCAACGTAAGTCATCAACGGAAATCGATACCCACTGAGAACTGTGTCTCATGTCACAGTACTTCACGTTTGTTATGAGCACAGCGTGATGCCAGGAAATCACGCACGTTATTGTTGTCATTTCAGTGTTTCTGCTAAATCACATTTGTATTCCGCTGCGTTTGAGATTGCATAAAAACTCTGGTAATTAATGCCCACTAATGTGTTTTGTAACGAAGACCATCAAATTAGTAATTCTTATTTGCAAATTACATTGAAGCCTGATTATGGTCTTGGAAGTTATATACAAGAATGAATATCGACAAAGTGTATCCGGAGTAATAATTTTATAAGATTTGGCCTACTGGCCCGAACATGTTATGCACCTCTAGTACCAAAAATATCTTATTTTGTTAGATAATGTTAGAGACAATGTATTATGATGACAATTTTACAGACTTCAATCAATATATGCACTAGATAATGTTCAATAACACGTTTTAGAATCCTTATAGAAACACCATAAGTTAGTAGTACTGGAGAGTGCCTGTTATAATGCTCGGTTTGCTTCCTGTTTACGAATGGGATGTTAATTTGCCTGAGACAAATATCACACTAGATACCCTCCCAGTGTCTATTCTGCAGGACTTCAATACAACTCAGATCAAGAAGACGTGACTAGCCTTACTAGAACATAAATATATTTCTACACCAAAAACCAGTCAATAATAATACGGACAGGAGAATATACAACTTATCTAACACCTGTCAGACTATCTACAAGTCTGACTAAGCAAACAACAAATCAATATCATCCTTACCCACACACCAGTGCCATTACACGACGTCTTCCGGACAGACATTTCTTGGTAGCTTAGCATTTAGTTCTTGACTTGTCCCATAATTCCCAACTTTAATATTCTGTCATATACTGTATCTTAGAACACATATCTATTGTCATTTTCTTAGAGGCATGTTCTCAGAAGCAACATCTGACCTTAGTGTGTTTAGATCCCATATCCTCTTTAGTGAAGATGGACGGGAAAGGGCTAAGTAAGACGAAGATAGAACATGACAAGTCAGTGAAACTGATAATTAACTCTCTGAACTATGCTGACGGACAGATTTCTTACTCAGGGTTTATGAGATAGTATTCTATGGTTGAAAAAACTTGAGTGATGTGGTTTCAAACTTGCAGTCATGACCCAAATCCATAATTTAAGTAATAGGTTGACAGACATCAATAAAATAAGCCATCCAGCTCATTGATGGGTTGTTACCTGATCACGTAGACCTCACTTTCAAATATCTACAACAACTCTGACACCTTTATATATAAAAATAAAAGGTCAACTGGACCAGAAATGGAGATATTAGCAAACTAGAGTGGAGAATAAATTCAAACCTAGTAAAACTGCTGCACATGATTATTACTGACAAAGAGGAACTCGATGTTCTAAAACCAATCGGCTCTGAGTATCCTCATTTACATGGATTACCTGAAATTCACAAATCGAGCATTCCTTTACGCCCAATCTTATTAATGTGTCGGTCACCTACACATAACCTAACTAAATGGTTGACAAAATTGTTGGATCCCATCCGAAGACGTTTATTTAAGTATTCTGTGGAGGATTCTTTTGAATTGGTCGATAATTTATGTGATATTAGTATCAATGGGGAGAAAATGTGTTTATTTGACGTGAATTCCTTGCTCACAAATGTACCTTTGAAAAAGACTATTGATATATTATGTGACTACATATCTTTGAACAACCTTAAATTACTATCACGTACTGACGAAGTCCAGTTCACATTTAAGGGTTGCTATGGATAGTCTGTTAGGACCATTATCAGCAGATGTGTTCATGGCACATGTTGCAAATTTAGCTGAAGCCCTAATCGAAAATATTTCCCTATGTAAGAGATATCAGAATGATATCTTAGTTATCTGTGAAAGAAAGGACGATATGAATTGTTTATTAAGTGGACTTAACAGTCCAAAACCACACTAGTCTTTCATGTG